AGCTGCCAAGAGAAAGAGAACAGCCATGTCCAGCCTTCACCAGCGTTCACCAGCCGCGGCACACTTCAAAAAACTCGCTTTGGGTACGGGATTTTCCTGATGTCTGTGTTATCAAACAGAAGAGAGAGATCGTGGCTGGGATGTGCCAAGGTAAACCGCCCGCGTTGCTCCGATGGCCGTTGGGAGCCCAGCACCTGTGTCCCTGGTGCCTCCCAGCCCGGGGCATGGCCTGGCCCAAAGATCAGGGAATTTTAAAAAGAAAAAGAAGTGCTAATAGAGCTCTGCAACTCTCACACTCCTGCATTACATCTGCTGTTGTGTGGGCACTAAGGGCACTGCTGGTACTGGCAGCCGGGCCTGCGGGGCTGGCGAGGGACCCATCACGGGGTACAGAGGCACTCAAGGATGGCTTTGGTGGGTGCCAAACCCAGCACCGGGCAGCTGGCAGCGGCCATGAGACGTGGCACTTTGCTTGGTCCTGCCTCGCCACCCAGCCAGTTTGCAGGTGGACCTGTGGAATCGAGTCATTCCTTTTCTTTTCTTTTTTTTTCTTTTTTCAGCTCAAGAAACAAGAAGAAACCCTGCAGGTCTCAGGATTTTTTTTTCCACGCCCCAATTATCTTTCTTCCTCTTTTAGATTTCTCCTCTGCAATTTATCTTTGTACGGATTGTTGTTATCCCTTCTCAGATCTGAACAAAAACAGTGTTTGGGTGTCTCTGATTCAGACAGGAATTGCTTCCTTGTTTGAGTTAAAAATTGACTGGTGATCACCACAGGGTTTTATCCCAAAGACTCTCCACTAAAATCCTTTGTCTGGATTTGCCTGACCCCCCGCTGCAGTTGGAACCTCAGTGCGCGCCAATCGCGCGGTTCATTTCATACTCGTTAGCGCATCGGAATCGCTTGGAAACATTCAGGAAACACGAAGAAGGAAACAGCAGAGGCCCAGAGCCACAGTGAGCTTTATTCCCTCCCACCACGGTGCTGCATCCTGCCCGCCACTGCTGTGGGCAGCATCCCGGGTGGGATGCCCGTGGGACCTGCTGCCTGCTGGCTGCCCACCCCATCACTGCGCCCGTGACGACGTGTATCTCCCCTGGTTGTGCACCCCCCGTTTGCAAACCCAGCTCTGCCCCGCGCTGTGCCTCGGCTGATGGGAAGCGTGGTCAGGAACACGGGAACGCTCCTTCCCTCCGCAGGGGAGGCCGAAGCGCTGCGGTGCTGCAGCTGGCACAGCATCCTCTGCGGGCAGGTTCCCCTCCGGTTTTCCCCCCCGTGTACAAGACACTGGAGACAGCTGTGCTGTGGAGATGTGTGTGTATCTGTGCACAGCTGGCTGACCACATCTGCCCGTGCAAAAAACGCTTCCTGCGTCCTCAGCAAACAGTGAGGGTGGCACTGGAGGCACCCCAGCTCTGTGCAGCTCCGCACTGCGCAGTGGCTTCATCAGAGCCCCACTGCAGCTGGACAGAGACTGGACAAGTGACTTGAAACTGTCATCCAGAATTTACATCCAGAAATCAGGAAAAATATTATCCCTATGATAATTTCATCTTTTCTGATGTAAAACACTACTGCTGAGTCAGTGCACTCTCTCCTTTTCTTATTTTTGGGGCTAGGTACATGGGGAGAAGTCCTGGCATGCTGGAAGTAATAAAATAATAAATAATAATAAAGTAATAAAATAATAAAAGTTTTGCCAACTGGAGGCCAAAATTTCAACACGTGCTGGCCTAACTGATGTGATCCTGGTGTTCAGGTTAGCATCCAAATGAGGCTTTTTTCCCTAAGTAGATGTATTCTGGGCTGGTATTAACATGCTAAATTCTCCCCAGCATCAGTCTGTCAACAACAGAGATGTGATGAACAAGCTCGTGCCTCGTTAGGAGGTGGGTGCCACCCTTACACAATCACCCAGCTGTTGTCTTTTAAGATCACTTACAACCACTTCACAACCCCACCTCACGACCCCACTTATCCACTCCTTTTCCCACCCTGCAGCATCAAGCCGCTCTTTCAAGAGCCCTGGAGAAGGAGAGCTGTGCCTGCCACGACCACCAGGAAAGGGCTTCCAAGCTGCTGATAAGGAGATAGCACTTTTTCCAGGAGAAAAACTAGTCTAATTATCTTGGGTGACTTCAGCTGAGCCCCAGCCATGCTCATCCAGCCTGCAGCACTAGAACTGCCTCTCCTGGGTCATTCCCAGCATCTGCTGGTTTTGAAGGACGTGTGGTTTGCAGGTATGAGGTGGTGGCTGATGCATGGTGTGAGCAGGCAGCGTGTTGCAAACAATTTATGGGTTGGGTGGAAACTCAAATAAAGCACGCTCAGCTATGTTGTTCTTACAATGTATCTGCTCTTGCAGTGTTATTGGGTTATTGAGCTGCTCTTTGGGAGCTCTCTGGTGGGCTCTGTGTGAAATTCCCATACAGAATGAGCACTGATGTAGGGGAGTGAATTTGGATTCCTATCCGCAGGACAGAGCTGTCAGCTCAATTTTAATCTCATCAAATCTCAAACTTTAGGTGAGGAGCTATTTTATTTTTTTAAGCAGTAAATAGGCATTAAAAAAAAATCAGGAAGTGAAAAGAAAGAACTAGAATTATAAACCCCAGCAATGCAGGCTTTACTAAGAAGTAAATCCTGTATCGTTGAGGTTTGGGTTTTTTTTCCTGTCTTCATTTCGGTTTTGTATTGCGAAAATGTTTATATGATCAATTTTCTGCACCTATCTGATTAAACCATTATCCTGCCACCATCCAAAGTGAGGGAGCTGCCACGGGATAACTGGGCAGAGTCTCTCTGTGTGGGTCTGCATAAGAACTTAACTTATTCACATAATTTTTGTGTGTTCTTTGCAAAAAAAAGGTAAGAAATCTGATTTATAGCTTCAAAAAGAGAAAAAATCAGGCTAACTTAAAAAAGAAAACAGCATAAATGAGTAATAATACACTTACTGCTATAGAAATAATGACTTTAAATTTCTGATCTGTTACATATTGTAGGTGAAAATCATCAAAAAGTGGCTCGTGTAGTTGCTGTGCAACAGCATTGTACTCCAAGTAACAGTATTTTAAGGTCAAATTGATGATCACCTACCTTAGATTGTGATGCTTCTGTTGCTGGAAATTTTCTCTTCCTTTGTCTCCAGCTTGGATCTAGTCTAATAAAGTGGGTCTTTGCTTGACTCTTGATATTTAATTCTTTTTTTTTAATGTATTAATGTCCAGAGTTTAAAAATGAATGCACTAAAAGCTTTCTTAAGTCCAGACCATTGCTGAGCAAATTGGAGGTGACCAAAACACTTAAAGGAGTAGCAGAGATGCCACCGATGTACTGAGCACAGAACCCAAAAATGGTCATTTTTAGCCACCTAATGATGTGAGTGACATCACGGAAGGGGGGCAAAAAAAAAAAAAAGCGAAGAGGCCAGGAGCAGAAATTGCCAGAATTTGAGAGGAATTCCCCTGCCCTACAGACAACTTGTAAGTTTTAACACAAAGCAACTGTTTCTAAACAATTGTAGTGAAATGCTATTTGCTGTGAGCTGCTTCCAGGTGGAACTTCACATAAAGCAAGAACTTTCTGCATGTTTCCTCAGACATCTGTGGTTTGAATGAACCTGAACGCTTCATCTAGCTTGCACCTGACTTTTGGTCCCATACTCTTTATGAATACAGAACAAAAAGATGGTTTCTTTTTCAAAGTCTGTTTTAAAACAATCCTCGCAATGAGAATGAAGCAAGCAACAGTGCTGCTTAACCAACAAATAGTGGTTTTTTTTTTTGTCTGGTCTTTCTCTTCCCTTCAATACCTGCTTTGCATTTTGGAGCATGCCCAGGTGCCCCTTCCACAAGGACATCACTGTCACAACCAGCAAAGCTCTAGTAACCCTTCGCAGTTCTAGAAGATGAATTTTGGGGCTCCTGCTTAAGGGTTGGTCTGTTTGTTTTCTTGCACTGCTGATCCCTTCTCGTAGGGCTTCAGCCTACGGAGTCATCTTGTGACTCTCGCTGCGATTTTCTCCTCCAGCATGACAGTCCCTGCGAGGCCTGGGAGTGGACAGGAACCAGCCCTGGGAAGCTCAGGGCACTGGTCACCTGTGGCTTGTGTGTTACCCAAGAAGCACAAACCAACCCAGCTCCTCGCTGGTAAATACTTGTTTCTGCTGTAATTTCCAGGAAGGCAATTTCAGTTATCAGTTTCTCCCATTAGCACGATCGTATCAGCTGTTTGCAGCACAGCCGGATTGAGCCGAGCTGGCAAACAGCTAAACAGATCAAAGTTGAGAAATTAAGTCAGTGTATCACTAAGGCACAGGGTTTTTACCTGGAAGTATCTTTAAG